GGGAAAGAGCATTGATGAATGCAAGAAAAACTTCATGAAGAATTAATCTGAGTCTTGGAGAAGTTGGATTTGAAGAAATACATATAATATACTTAATGCCTGTCCCAGAATAGTTGCTCAGAAAATTATAGTTTCATTCCTTGTCGGATAAATGGAAAGATAACTATATGAAAACACGAGCAGTATAAGGGACCATGGTCTCCAACCTATCTGGGCTTTTTTTTTTTAAGAATTATTTTATTTCATTTCATTTATTATTATTATTGTTATTTTAATTTGACCAGAGGAAGAGAGAGGGAAAGTGAAAAATTAAGCCACTAGGTCAAATTGTGGTGGCCATGTGGGAATCCAGTGCCTTAACCACCGCTACTTGCCCCCCAACCCTGCCCGGGATTTTTCATTCTCTGTTGCACTGCTTGTTGGACATCTCATTTTAATCTGACAGGATGTTCCCATGTGTGAAAAATCACAGAATATCTGAACAGGGTCCATAAGAGTAGGCCTGTTCCTTGTTTTAAACTTTAGTTTTCTTTTTCATTGATACTCTGTCTTATTAAAAATCAAGCCACTTTTTTCTAAGGCATTTGTGTGAAATGTTAGGTTTTTTTTTTTTTTATCTCTGTGTATGTTTGTCTAATGTCCTAAGTAACAAAAAATTGTCATTTTTAGATTTTTTTAAAGTCACTTTTGCATTTTGATTTAAATGTCGATAAACTTGCTCTCTAATACTGTAAAATCCAGATAATTTGCACACAGTTTTACTAATACATGCAACTGGAAATTCAATAGGTTAAATGATTCCTAATGGTCATTATACCTAGGAAAGTACTAACAGTTACCATTGTTTCCATCCTTAACATCAGCATTATACAGGAATCCTATTATTTGTAGTGAAAATATTTTTAAAATATTTTAAGACCTATATTTCATGTTTTTCAATAGGTAAATCAAACTGGGAAGATGATGGTTGGGGAGCATGGGAAGAAACAGAACTTCAGGAACCTGTAAGTCTGTAAATGTATGCATCTTTTTTGATAGTGGTGCTTTCTTTCTGTAATGATGATTACATTTTTCAGTGTTAAGCTGATGTTTTAAAATCTATGTCAGGGACATTTTTGTGCATGCTTAATAGTACTTAACTAGATACCTGTGTTTAAGGAACTTCATGACTTGAAGACAGTCCAGAGGTAAGATGGGTTCCTGGGTTGGTGCTCAGATGACTTGACTATGTCATCAAGTTCTTTTCTTCTGCCTACTTTTATATGCAGTGGTGGCTTTATCTTCAGGCTTGTTTCTCTCACAAACATGGTGCAGCAGTGTTTTTTTCCATTTATGACCTTAGAAAGAAAAAGTCTTATGTTTTCCATGACTCTTCTAGAAAAAATTTCTTCAGATGCCTCTAGTGAACCTTGCTTTACATCTTCTTGGCTAGAATTAAGTGATATGCTTATTTCTGAACTAATGATGGCCACGGATATGAGATTTTCATAAGTCATCTATCTCATTCACTGGAGTTAGATGATAAGAAGTTCCACTTCGGGGCCGGCAGGTTGGCATGGTGGTTGAGGGTGCTGGACTCCCACATGGCAGACTGCTGTTCAAGTCCTGAACCAGGTGACTTGCTTTCTCACTTGCCCTCTCTCTCTCTCTCTGTCTGATCAAACTGCAAAAATAATAATAATAAAGTTAAATAATTTTTTAAAGTAGTTTTAAAAAAACGTTCAGCTTCTCTTGAGGCATTGGCTATATAGGGGAAGAGTTAATACCTGAACAAAATCTGAAATTGTATTTTTTTCCCAAAGAAAGAATGAATGTATATATTAGATAGATCACAAAAGGCTATTGCAATAGTTCTTTTGAGAAATGGTGATTTTGATTTAGATGGTGTTAGTGAACATGAGAAACATACATTCTAGACAGGTTTCAAGCCACCAGGGCTGGGATTCAGTTGTGGCTGGCCATGTGTTATCTGACTCTACAGGGCCAGCCCAGATCTTGCCTTTTTATTTAGTCTAATGGTTTTGGCCTTTGACTGACATAAATAATTCTTTCACATTTAAAAAAATTATTATTTTATTTAATTTTTGTTTATTTATTTAAATTTGACAAGAAAGAGACAGAGTGAGAGAGAGAGAGAGAAAGTGAGAAAGCAAGCCACCAGGTCCAGGATTTGAACCTTGGTTGTCCATGTGAGAGTCCAGTGCCCTTATCCACCATACCATCTGTTGGCCTCCCATCACATTTAATGTAATTATGTTTTATTTATTTATTTAGAGAGATTTTTGCTATAGGGTGTGTGCATTCACCAGAGTGACAGAGAGAAACAGAGATAGAAAGCGAGAGATCACCCCCAGGGGGATGGCCATATTACAGTCCATTCTCCTCCATTTTTCCTCTCTGGATTTTGGGCGCACACATGCACTCACCTGGTGTGAGTTTTAAGCTGCTGTGTTTGGACCTCGACTTTGTTTCTTTCATAAGAGGGAGAGAGGAAGAGGAGAAAACAGCTCCCTTCGGTGGAGCTTAGTCACGATGAAATTGTTTTTCTACAGTTCTCCATCCCATCAGGATCCTGAGCATACATATGCTCAGTATGCTTTTCAAGCCACTAGGGTCAGGACTGGAACCCTGCTGGGCCATGTGAGATCTGGCTCTCTTTGGACAGTGCTTTCTCATTGCTCTAAGGGGATGTTCAAGGTGGTTTTAAAAATCATCTTGGCAGGTGGGTCTGCATGCCTGCTCAAAATCCCAAAAGGAGGGAGAAATGGAGGAGAAGGGATTCTGGAATGACCATTCCCCATGGATGATGCTTTCTCTTTCCTTTTTTTTGGCAAGGTCATGCACCTCTAGCAAAAAAAATAAAATAAAATAAAAAGATAAAAGGAAAAAAGAAATTCACCTTGGCTACTTTGTGGAATAGGTGTAGTAGTTCTTTGTACCAGCTATGTGTCTCATACTCACAATGGTCAGGGGCCTGTTTACTTCACAGTATTTCATTTTGTTGTACAGTTGTTCCAGGGGATTATGGGAGATGTGAACAATGATAGCATAGTTTGAACGCCAAGTGTTAACAGTCTTCTTTTAATTCTTACCTGTAAAGTATGTCATCTCATTTTTTTTAACCAAATTTAGAAATATCTGAAATCTAGGAATCTCTAAAGATAAACATAGGGATGTTTTAACTGTTTTCAGATAAAAATAAAAACATGCATCTATTCATTCTAAAAACACATAAAAAATACTAACATACAGAACCGTTTGTCATTTGGATAAAATTTGAATGGATATTCAAGTATACTGCTGTGTTCATGAGGACTTTTTTGAATTTGGATCCTGCCCTTAAAACAAGGCATCATCTTTGCCAAAAGGAGACTGCTTATTGGATAGGAATAAAAATAACACTAAAGATAAGGAAAAGGTTGTAACCACTGACTTGAATTACAGCATCAATCAGAATTTACCACATATAACATCACTATGAGATTTTATTGAGCAAACTGTTTATTTGTTTATTTTTAGAGAGAGATTTTTGCTATAGGGTACGTGTGTTTGCCAGAGAGACAGAAATAGAGAAATCATTCCCCCACCCCCCCCGGGGGGGGCATGGCCATGTCGCAGTCCCTTCTTCTCCATACTCGTCTTAAGATTATGGGTACCCATGGACCAGATCCAGGACTCAAATTGCAGTTGACCATGTGGAAGTCCAGTGACGTAAGCATTACACCATCTGCTGGTCCTGAACAAAATGTTTTTATACCAGGACTTTTAGATATTCTACTCAGCTGACATAAGAGAATTCTGTTCTTTCTTTCCTTTTTGAATTTTCCAATGGGCACATACACTCACCATAGAGAGACAAAGAGAGAAAGAGAGGGAGAAAGCATCTTCCCCCCCCCCCCAGTAGAGTGTGGTCATGCCTCATTCCCTTTTGTTCCATTTCTCCATCCTGTTGGGATTTGAGGTATGTATGCACATACGCCTGTCATGGTATTCAAACCACTAGGACCAGGATTCTAACCATGTAGTCACCCATGTGAAATCTAGCTCCCTTACCCATTATGCCACAGGGCTGCCTCCCCAAAACTTCTGTTATTTCTAGTATTATGATTATAAACCACTCCAAAGGCATAGCCAGCCCCAGAGTCATTAACAAGTATTGGCAAATTGTGGTAGATTTACAAAATGCAGAAGTACCTGTTCTAAGTCAAGGTAGTAGATATAGCCATCTCAGAATGTAAAAAGGAAACAGAACTTTGTACTTTCTTATCAAAGAGCCTACTTTGCCTGACAGTCTAACTAGGTATGTCCACATTAATGGTAAAAGACCAGCATTGGAAAAAGTGGAATGCCTTTTTTTTTTTTTCCAAGAGAGATTTTTGCTATAGGGCTCTTGTGCCCACTGGAAAGACAGAGAGCGAGACAGAAAGCAAGAAATCACCCCCCGGGGGCATGTCCATGCCACAATCCCTTCTCCATTCTCCTCTCAGGATCTTGAACATGCATGCACATGTGCCCAGCATGAGTTTAAGCTGCCAGGTCTGGGACTCAAACTACAGTCAACTATGTGGGAGTCCAGCGACATAACCATTATGCCATTATGCCATTTGCTGGTCCCAAAGTGGAATGTCTTAAAGTCAACTTATGGTTGTGGTGCATGCCATAACTGTGTAAGCCATAATATGGTTCTCCACCAGTTACCATTGGGTTGAGGTTGTTATGACTGGCAGAAGAGTGTAAACTTTTATTCTTTGTTAGTCTGGAAACTATTAGAAAAATATGTTTTGGGATCAGCAGTTAGCGTAATGGCTATGTTGCTGGACTCCCATGTAGTTGACTGTGGTTTGAGTCCCGGACCCGGTGGCAAGTCCATGCATGCCCAAGATCCCAAGAGGATAATGGAGGAGAAGGGATTGTGTCATGGCCATCCCCCTGGGATGGTGATTTCTCACTTTCTGTCTCTTTGTCTCTGTCTTTCTGGCAAGCACACGCACCCTATAGCAAAAACCTCTCAAAAGAAAAATATGTTTTGATCTTTAGGAGTGCTACAGCAGTGTGTAAATAAGCCACTACCATGGGTAGGTGTAGCAAAGAGTAAAGTGGAACAGCAGCCACCACCAGGGAATGCTGACCTTGAGGCCAACTGGTGTTGTTGAGTTCAGTGGAGAACTATAGATTCCAGGGTGCTTTTAATCTCCACAAGCCTATTAGCTCTTTGACAGTAGCTTCTTATTTTTATGGCACAAAGGAGTAAAGGCCTTTTGTATTCAGAGAGACTTAGTACCAGGGGTGTGAACAAGTTTGTTTTTTGGTTTTTGTTTTTCTAAGAAAGGAGAAAGCCTTTTTAGCTATTTCTGATTCTGAGGCGTCAGCCATAGTAAGGGCTTAGTGAAGAAAGCATATTCTAATACCCACTATCAGCAGTAGCCATCCACATGGAAGGAAGTTTGCAGTCATAACACTGGTAAGCTTAGGAGCTTTAAGGATGGTTTCTATTATAGAGGAAGACAAACAGCTTTCTTCTACAGATATTTCATGTCTGTATTCATCTGTCATATTCTGTATTCATCATAACCGAATACCACAGACTGGTGACTTAAACAACAAAAATTAATTTTTTTCACAATCCCAAAGGCTAGAGATGGAAGATCAAAGTGTCATCAGGGTTGGTTTTGGTGAGCCCTTCCTTCCTGGTTTGCAGACAATAGTTTTTGATTGTCCTCACTTGGCCTTGTCTCTCAGAGCACATGTGGAGAGAGTGAGTTCTGGTCTCTCTTCATTCTCTTATAAAGACTCCCTTCCTATAGGATAAGATCCCACCCTTTGGACTTCATTTAAGCTAAATTACCTCCTTAAAAGCCCTGTCTCCAGAGAGTCCCATTCGGCATTAGGATTTAAACATGTGAATTGTGAATAAGGGGCACACAAATTAATACATAATGCCCAAGATGCAGATCATTAGGCATATCTCTAACTGGGCAACTGCAAAAGAAGAACTAGGGAATTC